TATAGATCCTATCCATGGAATGGGTGCAACCCATATTATAGATCCAATCCACGGAATGGGTGCAGCCCATATTATATATCCATTCCATGGAATGGGTGCAGCCCATATTATAGACCCAATCCATGGAATGGGTGCAGCCCATATTATAGACCCAATCCATGGAATGGGTGCACCCCATATTATAGATAAAATCCATGGAATGGGTGCAACCCATATTATATATCCATTCCATGGAAGGGGTACAGCCTATATTATAGATCCATTCCACGGAATGGGTGCAACCCATATTATAGATCGAATCCATGGAGTGGGTGCAGCCCATATTATAGATCCAATCCATGGAATGGGTGCAACCCATATTATAGATAAAATCCATGGAATGGGTGCAGCCCATATTATATATCCATTCCATGGAATGGGTAAAGCCTATATTATAGATCCATTCCACGGAATGGGTGCAACCCATATTATAGACCCAATCCATGGAATGGGTGCAGCCCATATTATAGATTCATTCCACGGAATGGGTGAAACCCATATTATAGACCCAATCCATGGAATGGGTGCAGCCTATATTATAGATCCAATCCATGGAATGGGTGCAACCCATATTATAGATCCAATCCATGGAATGGGTGCAGCCCATATTATAGATCCATTCCACGGAATGGGTGCAACCCATATTATAGACCCAATCCATGGAATTGGGTGCAGCCTATATTATAGATCCAATCCATGGAATGGGTGCAGCCCATATTATAGAGCCAATACATGAAATGGGTGTAGCCCATATTATAGATCCAATCCATGGAATGGGTGCGCCCCATATTATCGATTCATTCCACGGAATGGGTGCAACTCATATTATAGATCCATATCCATGGAATGGGTGCAACCCATATTATAGAGCCAATCCATGGAATTGGTGTAGCCCATATTATAGATCCATTCCATGGAATGGGTGCAACCCATATTGTAAATCCTATCCACGGAATGGGTGCAACCCATATTATAGACCCAATCCATGGAATGGGTGCAGCCTATATTATAGATCCAATCCATGGAATGGGTGCAACCCATATTATAGATCCAATCCATGGAATGGCTGCAGCCCATATTATAGATCCATTTCACGGAATGGGTGCAACCCATATTATAGACCCAATCCATGGAATTGGGTGCAGCCTATATTATAGATCCAATCCATGGAATGGGTGCAGCCCATATTATAGAACCAATCCATGAAATGGGTGTAGCCCATATTATAGATCCAATCCATGGAATGGGTGCACCCCATATTATAGATTCATTCCACGGAATGGGTGCAACCCATATTATAGATCATATTCATGGAATGGGTGCAACCCATATTATAGATCCAATCCATGGAATGGGTGCAGCCCATATTATAGATCCATTCCACGGAATTGGTGCAACCCATATTATAGATCCAATCCATGGAATGGGTGCAGCCCATATTATAGATCCAATCCATGAAATGGGTGCAACCCATATTATAGATCCAATCCATGGAATGGCTGCAGCCCATATTATAGATCCATTCCACGGAATGGGTGCAACCCATATTATAGATACAATCCATGGAATGGGTGTAGTCCATATTATATATCCAATCCATGAAATGGGTGCAACCCAGATTATAGATCCAATCCATTCCAATGTGTGCAGCCCATATTATAGATAAAATCCATGGAATGGGTGCAGCCCATATTATAGATGCATTCCATGGAATGGGTGCAACCCATATTATAAATACTATCCATGGAATGGGTGCAACAAATATTATAGATCCTATCCATGGAATGGGTGCAACCCATATTATAGATCC